TAAAACAGACCTTGAAGGGTTGTTTGTCCAACTTGGACATCTCACCAGGCACCTGGTTAGCCTGGCTGCTTCCCCGGGCACTGTGCACCTCCAAGGAAGATATCACGATATTAACTATTATTAATATAAATCCACTTACAATCACAGGCCCCTTGTTTCTCTGTCTCTTCAGCATTGTGGAAATTCTTCCTTTGCTGCTTTCTAGCGATACAGTCTAGGTCAGGGCAGCTCAGTTTTCCCATGTTGGAAACAGCTTATGTGAAGATTATTTTAAAAAGCCTTCATAGAACAAACAGAAAGCATCACCAACAATGAGGTTTTATTGTTTATTTTGTGTATTTGTTTTGGGTTGGCAGTAAGATATACTGGCACTTGAAAGGGAAAGTGGGAGCAGCAGGGGGAGATGTTACTGGCTTTTTGATGTACTACGTTTTTCAACATCTCACAACCGCCGCTTGTGAAACTTGCAACCTCAGTGTGGATGCGATGTAGAAATGAGAAGAGAGGCAACCAATGACCTAGACTATGCAGGAGGACAGACTGGGTTACTTTACTGATCCCTACTAGCACTGAGATCGAGATCTTTATTAGTACAATGTAAAAAAACTTACGCTATGCAGGATACGATGGGTAGAGCAGACACAGACTAGAAAGTAGAGGTGAAAAGCAAGTACTGAAGTACTTTGCTGGGACTGGTGGCTATAATGTCACCCCTGTGCTTACTGTTAGCTTAGCTTTTATTTATTGAGCATTCCCAGGCACTAACATAACTCTGCTGAGAGTTAACAGTGAGTGTAAGACGCAGGTGTACTGTGGGTGTGCATCTCTGTCCTCACCACCACCGTCTCTTATCAGCAAGCTAAGGACCTCTGTAATGTAGAAAAGCTGTTTGAGATCCCTGATCTCTAATGTCACCAAATACACTGAAAATAAATATGATTTCCACTGGGGAAATACAAACCTTTCTGTCAGTCGTGAGTTCAGTTCGGAGATTACGTACCTGCTGCAGTCATAGCGAGCTCTGTTTGGGGCTTTTCCTCACGGAAGGACAATGTTTATACTGGCTCCAGCGAAACCACACGCAAAGTGCACCTCTTACCTGGCTTAATCAGCCAGTGGGAATAAAGCTGAAGTATAAAAAGCTCTACCATGTATTTCAGTGTAATTTGGGCCCTCCCTCACTAGCGAACCACTAGTGAATGGACCAAAATTGAGCCATATTTCTAAACACGGTTCCTTTTCTGATCACACAGCCAGACAGCACAGGCACCGGCTGTGCCTCTGTGCACGTACTGAGGATGTAATCGAGAATAACAGAGGAATATCAAAGCTATCAGTCTTATTGTCAGCTGGACAACTTAACCCTCTAATGATGTCCCTTCCTTTTCTAGATTTTATTGTAACGTGTCACACATGCTATGCAATGATTTACGTAAGTCAACATATATTAAGATGAATGAATAAAGAGGAATACATAAGAGAAAAATGCTCAGTGATCACATTCATGATACTCCAACACCAGTTCCAGCATATAAATTTAAAAATGTTAGAATTTAATAGTCATTC